GAACCAGCGTGGGAAAGGCAGATGGTGATGGCGAGGGTCTCTGACCCGTCTCTGTAGGATTTTGACCATCCTCTGTAGGATGCCGGCCCATCCTGAGGCGCTCTGCTGACAGCCGGGCACCACAACGCTCCAAGGCCTGCTCCGTCACATCAGTGGGGGCCCCTGCGCGGGGAGCTGGATCTTTAAGGGCGCAACTACAAACATTCATTCGCTCCGGGCATCTGTTGCTCACCTGACTCCTGTGTGGCAGAGACCATTCCTACTGGAAGGGGGTCATCGTGGGGTGGATGTCTACAGGATGAAGGCAAAGGATGCTCCGAGATACTAATCCTAGCCAGACCCAGGACTCCCCTCCCTGCCCTCGCTGCCTCCCGGGAAGCTGGGTCCGCCGTGTGGTCTGCCTGCGTGATCGATGAGGAAGGCTGCAAATCCCTGTTGGAGAGCAGGCTCCGAGGCGGCTGGGACAACTTCGAGCAGTAGACTGTGGCAGAGGTGACGCTAAGCCTGGCCTTCAGGGCACTGGGAGCATACGCCTGAGCATTGCTGGAGCCCAGGGCTACTGCGCAGGACGTCCTCCGGCCCAGATGGAGGGGCCACTAGGAGGGACGCTGAGACTCCCGGCCGAGGGAAGAGGACCCTGCTGGCTCGGACGGCTCGTCCTCCCTGCCAAAGTGCGAGGCGTGGAGGCAAAGCCAACCTGGACCCTCCAGACCAGGCCAGCCGCCAGCCAAAGGGCATGCAGTGACCACCACCGACGCCACATGGGGCAGAAGAACGAGCCAGCTGAGCACTGCCTGGACTCCTGACACTCAGTCACATCAAAAGATGTCTTTTTAAAATGATGGTTGCTCAGCCACTAAGCTTCGTCACGGGCAACAGATAACCGGAAGGAAGGCGTGAACATCTCCCACCAAGTATCTCAAGGACCCCCACGCTGGCGGTGCCCCCAGAGCGCCAGCCACAGCGCAGAGGTCTGACACTGTCTTCACACCAGCACCGCACACAGGTCCCTAAGGGAGCTGGTCCGGCAACCGCGAGCATGTGGCGCGGATTCTGATCTCCGTGACTCTGAAAGGTGCTGCGGGCCGCAGGCACTGCTGGCTCGTGCCTCTGAAACAGGGTCGCAGCCTCTGCGCTCCTGTGGCCCTAAGGCAGCCTGCACGGGGTTAAGCCCCTCCGGGTCTAGCCCTCAGGCCTGGTCTCCCAGCCCTGGCTGGACAGACCACCGTGGCTGGGTTAGCCCCTGTCTGAGGCCTGGCGCTGGGACTCTGGGAAGCTCCCCTGGTGAGTGTAAAGTATAGTTCATTCTGAGAACCACTGTCAACTTAGGAGACATCAAAGGTGTCGAGAAAAAGTCTAGGATTACTTGAGGTTAACTTGGAGCAAACAAGAATAAAAGAATTACTTCAGCAACTTTTAACTCTGCGATGAGGTGTAGGCTGCCCTCTCCCCCCGCCCTCCCCTGGGATTGGTGGGAAAACAGAAAGTTAACATCTCATTGGCATTGGAATTTTTCAAGAATTTTTGTGTATGCGGACAGACACAAGAATTCTGCAAAGCAAACTAAGAAATCTTAACCGCTGGTGCCTGGGGGAGAGGGAGGGAGGGGGAGAGGAGCCGAGGCTGATGGACGAAGGGCTGCTTTGTAGCCGCACGCACCCCACCATCTTCACCTACGTTGGAGCATGGGGCACCTCGTGGCCGCCCGGGATTCAAGGCTGGCGCCCCTAGTCGGCCCGCCACCCACCCAGGCCTGTTCGTCTCAGGGGCTGGGGCTTTGGTTTTGTGAATGATGGAAGAAGCAGGACAGCGAATGCGGAGGGAGGGTCTAGGAATAAAATAAATGGAAGGACCTGATGCTTCCGATGCCCTGGCCAGCCTGTGTCTGAGCCTGGACACCGGGCTGGGCAGGGCAGCGTGAAGCTTCTCGGGAGGCTCCTTGGCAGCGGACACAGGGAGGCCAGGCGGTTTGTAAAGTCTTCAGATGTCACCGAGGCCACCGTCAGAGCTCGAGCGGGAGCTGCAGTGTGCGCGCAGGTCGGGGTACCAGGCTGCAGCCGCCTGGATGCCGGTGTGTGTGTGAAGCTCACAGACACCCAGCATCTCCCGACCCGGCCGGGTGCGCCGCCACGCTTCACTGCCTGCAGACCTCGGTCCCCCTTCACAGCACGGTCTGACCCCGGCTCGCTCGGGTGGGGGGCTGAGATCACGAGGGACCCCGTGTCAAGCCTGGCTGCACACGAGGTGACAAAGGGCACGCACTGACTCACCTCTGCGGTTAACGGGGTCCTTAGCGACGTACGCAACGTAGTCTGTTGTGTCCTGTGAAAGAAAAACCAGACGTCACATCACTCGTGAAGGCGGCAGCAAGAGCAGCCCGAATAAAACAAAGGAGCTTTAAAACACTGAGTCCCAACTCCCCGATAGTCTGGTTTTGCTGGATTAGATGCGAGGTCCGGGCATCGGGGATTCGGGGGAGCACCCCAGACGGCTCTAACGTGAACGGAGGCTGAGAACCAAGGCTGCCAGCTGTCTGCAGCAGCGTCCTCCAGCTTGAGCTGCTGTCAGAATCCCCGCGGGGCTTGTCACGGCACAGCTCGCCGAGCCCCACCCCGGGGCTTCCCATTCGACAGGTCTGAGGCCAGGCCCCCAGACGCGCGTTTCTGACAAGTTTCCAGCTCCTGCTGGTGGTCTGGGGGCCACACTCTAAGATAATCCCAAGCGGATGTTCCAAGGTTGGTTGCAAACACCCCTCCTGGGTGGGTGAGATTCGATGACGTAAGTAGTCATTTTAGTCCCTTTAAGATGTTTCAGAATTAGGCGCTCTCTTTAGAAGTCTCACCCTCGCAGATGAATTGCAAGTCCCCTCCCAGCCCCGTCTACTTGGCACACGGAGGAAGTGGCGACCTCAGAGGTGAGGCAACCACGTGGATTTTAGTTTCCAAAGTCAGAGGAACCAATAATGCACTTAAGTCTTGAAGGCAAAAGACTCTTCCTGCAGAGCTGACATTTTCAGCATTCAAATGCATCTCGGGAGGCGGCAGCTCGTAAGGGGCTCCCTCCTCGCTGTGACGTCTCCCAGACGTGATGGCTCGGAAGGGTTCCAGGGTTACTGACGAGCCCCAGTGTCTTCACGTCTGCAAGATCCTCTGTCGCAGCTCCTTCATTGCTCCCTTGTTGCTGCAGTTCGTATGGGCCGAGGACACGACCCTGTCTCTCCTGGCAGAGCTCCGGGAGACCCTCCAGTGGGACGGGGGATGAGGGACACGAGTGTGGGTAGGGTGCCGGGGCCACGAGTGCCCAGGGCAGGGCGGGCATGGTGCAAGGGGCCGTCCCGCGCACCGCTGCCCGGGGAGCCCAGCTCACTGAGGCCACGAGGGCAGAGCTCCCTGCGGCTGCTGCCGCGACGGGGAGACGCAAGTCCGACTCCGCACTGGGTCTGCTGCTCTCACTGTCACCTTCGTAACTACTGCGTCCGCTACGAGTTGAGCACTAAAGGGATGCTGCGGAGAAGCTAAAATGGTGCAGAATGGCCTGCCTCTGGGAACCCGCCTTCCCACATAGCGAGTGTTCAGCTCACAGGAAGCGGCCTGGCCAGGCCCACCTGTGCGTGGCTGCAGGAGGGAGATGAACCCCTCCCCTGCGGAGCCAGGCAACGTTTGACTCCACTCCCGCCCCTTTTAGTATAAAAAAGAAGCATGAATTCTAACTGAGGCAAGACGGTTCTTTGGGACACTAGTCCACCATCTCCTCGGCCTGCCGGCTTTCTGGATAAAGTTGCTATTTTTTTGCCCCAACACCTCATCTCTTGATGTACTGGCCTGTCGTGCGGCGAGCAGTAAAATCTAGGACTTAGTGACACGGCCCCGGGGTCGCCCTCCAGCATGCAGCCGGCCTCAGCTGTCTCCTCTTCCTTCTCAGGCCACTGCTATTTAATGTTTTCACAGACTGACCTGGCGAAAGGGAGTGGGGGACAGTCAAACCCGTCAACCTGGCCTTCTGTCGTTTCATCAAGGAAGATCTGGTCCGAATCCGAAGTCGCTGGTGAAAATGAGGATTGCAGCTGGTAGTCACAGATGGGACTTCCCGGACTCAGATGGGAACGTCGGAAGCAGCCATAGGGAGCACTAGTGTTTCTCAATCCGAGATCCGGGGAACCCTAGGGCTGGGCTGACACGTTCTCCAGTGTTTGAGATGTCGCCAGGATTTCCTTTTAATTTTATGTGTTCGTTTCCAGGATAATCTTAAAAGTTAACACAAGAACGTACAGAATCGTCTACATGACAACTGTGCCGGCAAGTTCTGCACACAATTTCCACGCCAAGGTTTTCGGCTGGGTTTCCGACATGGTGGGTGCCAGGTTTTTAAAGAATTAGAGAGAAAAGAGCAGTCAGACTAGATGGCTTGGCCCCACCTGAAGCAAGTTAATGTCGCACTTGTACACCATGATGCACGCCGACGTGTTCGCTTGAAAGAAGAAATGAGTGGAAGGAGCGAGGCACGCCGCACCTGTGGCAGCAGAGGGATGCTGACCCCAAAGCCTTCTGCTCCGTGGTGGCCACCTCCAGAGCCACGCTGGGAGCGGAGACGTAGCTTCAGCAAAACTTCACTCATCGCAGTAAATTAATTTTACTTTAAGTGTTATTGACTTTACTGTGTTTATTTGTACTTAACTTCCAAGTTTGGGGTTTACAGTTTCATAAAAGGTGTAAACATAGGGAGTCTACACATGATTTATTTTTGTACCTATACATGGGTAACAAAATTAAGATGAGTCCCACACCAATGGCACATACAGGGAAATTCTTCTTTCTAAATTCTTTCTTCGGTCTGAGAAGCTCTGCTCTGGCTCCAGGCGGGGGGAGGAGGCCCAGGCAAAAGATGTGCTGTGTCCCTGCCGCTCAGACGATCAAGGGCCAAGCCAAGGACGCAGCTTTTCTGATGCCGATACTGATGCTTTCCTGGCACAGGGAGGGAGTGTATTGTTGCTCAGAACAACATTCCTGACGTCCCCCAGTCAACGGTGGGCACCCTAAGCTTCGAGGATGGGCTGCCGAGTGCCCGCTCTGTATTTACCCACGTCTGTTCTCACTCCCCAAGATGTCATGAGCCTGACTATTATTCCGGCATTCTTTGGGTGATCTTTTAAAACTGCTAGTAATCGTAGATTACGACGGCAGTGTGCCTTCTTCATTGTAGGAATTAACAGTGTTTTCTAGTCTGTCTTGCTTGACCCTTCACAACACCACGTTCTTCCTGGATAAACTCAGGCGCAGAGCAATAAGCAGACACACACTTAGCAGCAGAACAAAAAACAGAACCTAGAATTGTTGGTATCTACTGAAGCGTCTACCACCCGTAATGATTCCAAGCTTCTCTGGAACGGGAAGTCATGCACAGTGTGCCAAGCGTTTGGATTGGCTAAAACGAAAAGTAAGCAGGCTTCCCGTCCCCCGGTGTCATGATACTTCCTGTATCAGAAAAAAATACTCTAAGTTACATGGGTCACTGAATGTTTCCTTTTTTTAGTGAAGAGCTGGTGGGGAAAACTGAAAATAGTTCACAGATCTGTTCAGCATCTTGGAGAACAAAATAATTTTAACACAGGACAGTGTAGCTGGCTTTCCACTTTCTAGATCTCTGCATCTCTACTCATAACGTCAGCATGAAGATGAGGTTTGAGACGAGTTCTTGAAAGGAGATGCTGACGCAGGTGTGCCATGTTTCTGCCCTTTGTTTTTGAAGCTGGGTTACCTCCCAAATTTAAGAAACCATAGTTCCAAGAAGTGCATTAGGCAAAGCAAGTAGACAGTCACTACAAATTAATCAGATCCAGTTACAGACATAAGTGTCGATCTGTGTAGGTGTGTAGTACAGGGGGATGGTAATACACGCCTGCACACATGCCTGCACACAGTCGTCAGAAATGCTCTGTGGATGGGCTGGATTATGGAGGACTCCCGCTTTCTGAATCCACATCTCAATGAGGTATTTCATTTTACAATGGAAGGCAGGAAGTTAAAAGATTAGAAAGATAGTAAAGGAAGGGAAGGGAATGGACAGGGAAGGGAGGGGAGGAGAGAAGAGGGAAGGGAAGGGAGGGGAGGGGAGGGAAGGAGGGGAGGGGAGGGGAGCTCATCATGGAAGACTTTGGAAAACTAGACCCTCAGCATGAAACAGGGCCAAGCCAGCGGGACTCACTGAGTGAGCTGGTTAGACAGCGCTCTGCGCGTCCCACGACACTCATGCAGAGGTTTAAGGGCAAAGAGCCATCCACAGGGTGGCCAGACCCCTCTCCTGCCAGTGCCTTTGGCTTAGGGACCTGAGACAGGGAGCCACCCAGACCTCTTCCTGCGCCTGCATCTCAGGCAGGAGCGATTCTGGGGCGAGGCATGGTGCACCCCTGGGGGCTGCAGCCGGTGGGGGCAGAGGGGGCAGACGCAGGCTTTCCTGGAGCGAAGGCACTCAACATCATGGTTATACTGTCCTTGGGAAAGGCTGAGACTGGAGCCAGCCGTGAAAACCACTCCCGGGGTTGGCTTTCAGTGTGCCGAGCGCAGTTCCACAACGAGGTTTCCCAGGTAGGAGCGTGGGGAGGACGGGCTGTGAGAGGGACGCCGGGCGTGGGAAAGGCCCCCTTCCCAGGCAGAAACAGACGAGGCCCCTGCCCTCGGCGTGAGGAGTAACTTAACGCACCGATTACTCAGGCTACCTTGCACCAGTGAACTTTCACATAAAATCTGAGCATAGCCCACTGACACGCTCACAAAATAATGCAAACAACAACAGTGACAAAAAACCGGCCTGCCTGAGGAGGAAGCCGTTTTCTTCTGAGTCCTGCCTCTCGTGACACTGAAACTGAGCGCTGGCATCTTACGGTACCTTCCTGACCGAACGTGGGGGGCAAACGCCTTGTGATTCCACCTTCGTCAAAAAAAAGGCAATGAGAAATAGAACATTCTCCGTCTATCCTTTATTCTCTCTCTCTCTCTGTCTCTGCCACTCCTTCCCTGTTGGCAAAACAAACCATTAAACGACTACAGTGCTAAATTTGGAAAGAAAAATTCCAGTTTCAAATATTTAAGAATAAGCCAGAGTAAGTAAATTCACAGCCTTCAGATGGACTTGAAATACAAACACGGAGGACCCCAGGGGGGGCTGATGAGGAAACAGGAACAAATCAGGGCTGGCAGAGTCACGAAATGAGCAGCTGGGCAGCTTGAGAAACTGGGAGCTGCGTCATTACCTCTTTTTTTTTTAATTGAGTTACAGTCAGTTTACAATGCTGTGTCCATTTCTAGTGTAGAGCACGATTTTTCAGTCATACACGAACATACATACATTCGTTGTCGCGTTCTTTTTCACTATGAGCTACCACAAGATCTTGCATATATTTATTTCCCTGCGCTGTACAGTATGAACTTGTTTATCTATTCTGTACACACCTGTCAGTATCTACAAATCTCGAACTCCCAGTCTGTCCCTTCCCACCCTGTTCCCCTCTGGCAACCACAGGTCTGTGTTCTATGTGTATGAGTCTGTTTCTGTTTTATATATAAGTTCATTTTTTTCCCTAGATTCCACATATGAGCGATCTCATATGGTATTTTTCTTCCTCTTTCTGGCTTACTTCACTTAGAAGGACATTCTCCAGGGACAT